TTTGTCTGTATCAGTTTTGTATTTTAGTAGTGGCAGCTGCCCAGACAGACAGACACCACCTTAATTTTATAATAGTATAGATAGATAAAAAAGTTACTAATAAAGTTAAATAATTTAATTGTAACATTATTAATTAATAAGTATATAAATAATCTTACAACAATAATTGATTGTTCATATTAATCCGACAGAGAAGTATATTTTATAATAATCAAGTTTATAGAAAGTATTACATACGAGTTGACTGCAGCCTTAATCAATCCAGGATCCATATCAAACTCGCAATACAACAAAGGATTCAGCAACGGTTAAAGGAAAAACTTTATTAGGGCGAGATAAGGCTGGGATTAGCTGTGAAGTTCAACTTTAATTTATAATAAGTTGAATAACTTGTTGCATGAATGAATGTTTTTAAATTTAAAGAACATTTTAGGGCTTGCTGGGTTAATTTTGTATAGTATTTAGCTTCTGAGATATTTGATTGGTTAATTTAGATCTTAGGCGTAGTGTTTGGGAATTTAGTAGGTATTGGTACCGGTATTCAATTAAGGTATTTAGAACATCAGAACACTAAACATTTAAATGCCGTAGACCTAATAAACCAGAATATAACTATTGACTAGCAAACTAGCAAGATTTTCATTAACAGTTACTCAAACCTATGCACTTATTTCCGTTACTTGTAACGAAAACAAAACCCAAATTAATTTGATTTCATCAAAAAATGAAAGTTAAATGAAAAATGACACATCAAATAACCTTGGAAATAATAATAAAGAGTAATGTGCGTCAATCTTGTAGACGATGATGGTTATTGACTTAACCAGTGATCCTGACTAGCTACCAACCCTATACGATTTGTCCTATCACATTACTCGATGTGTCATACCAAAAATATCTCTTAAACTGTTGTATTATCAAAATATTTTGCCGGCCATTGTGTTTTCCGATTTATTTGATAATCAACTGACTAAACAAGTCAAATTTGCTGTAGGGTGGGAATGTAGGCATAAAGGAGCACGGTGGAAAGAGGACGCGGAAGAGAATAATGATGCTCTTTAGATTTGTTGTAAGGGATACTTACACATAATAGTCATGTAAGAAACAAAATCTAATTTTAGATCTTAGTGTGATTAGATTATTTTCTTCATTTTTTGATAAGAGGTTTACTGATGCGTGTTTAAAAGTGTTGTCACTCTATTAATTTGTTCTTACTAATAACGTTTGGCTAATCTTTTTAAGCTTCATTTTGAATTGCCATATGTCTATATTAAGATGCCATAAGGCCTAAAACGATTACCACAAATTTGACTGTACCACTTTAATAATATTATAGACTTTTTTATGAGTGTTAATGTTTTCATTATAAAATCAATTTTGCCTTAGGTCAACGTTTAAGGCAATAACAATGGCTACAAGAGTGGTTTTGACTGCATAAGCTAAATATTGATAGTTTATAATGTGTTAAGTGTTAGTCTGTGTACTATATTGCAGTCAAATCTATTTTCATATAGAAAAGTGTTAGATTAATCAAGTAACGAAATTTTTTGCCATCGTGTTAGTTGATGTTTTATTGATATGGTGTTGTACGGAATCCTAAAAACTGCTCATGGATAGAACGATGTATGTAACTTTGCAATTGACACTGCGTTACCTTTACTAAAATAGACTTTACTATCGGAAGGATGGAGACTTACGATAGCATATTTGACAAACTTTTTAGATATGAATAATCACTTCAGGCTTAAATGCAGTGAATTAAAGGTAACATTGCTTATACGAATCTCTAATTTCCAACAATTTGTTGTGCACTTCAAAATTTACGTTAATATATCAATATAAATGACACACAACAATTCAGCGGTGCTATAAAACCTTCCATCTGTTATCTATACAAGTGATATACAGCAAAACCCTTTTAACCACATCAATATTGATGATTTTAGCCGCGGGGATGACGAATAGCATTTGCTCTGTATTGGTGTGGCAGCATTTTACCGAAATAAAAATAAATGGTTAAAATGACAGTACTAATTTTATTGGCTTATGAGCTACAGCCCTTTAAGTACTTGACTTATAATTATGTTTTGTAATAATAACGTACTCACTTACTTTATTCTATTGTTCATAAAACTGTACGTAACAAATATAAATGGATATTTTTCGTGAATATTATAGAAAACATTCCAAGCTAATATTTAGATATGTGACGCCATTGATAGTACTTCTGGACTTTGTAATTTCCTCAATAATTTATAAGTAACAATAGCTGTTATTGTAAGCAATTTATCTTTTGATGAACGAGAAGAAACAACCTGACATTTTCAGTAACAATAAAATAAGACACGTTTAGAGCGAAAATGCAAGAGTAAAAAGTCTTAAAATTGAATCTAGAGTGTAAAAAGACCATAACATACATAACAAAAAATATTGAATACATTGTTTCAGAAATGGCCACCATTTTCCAAAATGGCTAGGAAATTTGAAAATAGGAATACTGTATGTTATGGTCTTTTTAGAATCTAGATGAAATTTAATACATTTTTACTCCTTGCATTTTTGCTCTAAACTTACTCGTTAAGGAGCTATATGATACAGAATGTACACCGCAAGTAATTTTTCTTTGTTGTAACACGCTGTAACTCCTAAACGAGTAGCTTTAGAGAAAAAATTCCGAGAATAAATACCCCCGTTGCAGCGAACCTGCCGACTAAGCGAATTTCCATTTGTCTGAATTGATTTTCAGTTAAATATATTTTAATAACATTAGGTTTAACGAGTACCTAGGTTTGCTGCTAAAAGGAAACTAATAAAGTGTGTTTTTGAGTAAAATATTGATAGCTTAGTACAAAATAAATAAATTTGCCAAGTTTGATCAAAATATATCCATAAACAAGCAAACTACAACATTTGACAATATTCTCCATAAGAATAACATGGGAATTTTAAATTTACAATTTTTTAAATTTTCTCCGTTACTAATAATTGAACAAAAATACTTTTATATACTAAATTATTTGTTTTTTTAAGCTCTTTAAAACGGTCTAGAGAAAAATTGGCAAATTTTGTGTTTTGAGGGTCAAAAATTAGAAAAACCATATTTTACCCCATAAAAAACCCCGTAAAACCCTGTTCCCATGGTCCGATCGTGCTGGTTCGCGAACTCATTCAAGTTTATCCTGCATTACACCTTTAAACCAAATTTCATCAAAATCAGACAAAAATTACTCAAGTTATCGCGTTTACGGACGTATATAAATAAATATATATATATATATATATATCTATATATATATATATATATACATTAATAAAAATTTGAACGAATGGTGTTTTTGGCCTCTGGGGACATCAAAATGAAAAAGTAAATCGGTCCCGGGTCTAGGTCTTACCGTGCCACCTACGGTAATAGCTACTTCCCTATAGGGAAATTCGCTAAAACGTTTTCCATAAGAAAATTCTAAGGTATCATATTGGAAAAATGATGGCTAAAATTATTTTTTCAACTTGACCAAAATTTTTTAAATAAAATATTCAAGGCAGTTACAATTTTACATTTTTGTTTAATCTCCTATAACTTTCGAATAAAATACCTGGCACACTTATGTCAATCACCCTGTATAAGTGAACGGTCTAATGAAGTCTTTAAATTTAGTATTACTTTTTACACAGTAATGTTTCTCCTTGCGGAACCTACTGGTTGAAAGGTTTAAACGAGAGACAAAATAGACTCCAATGTGATTGTTCCATTGAGATAATCACATGAAAGATGAGCACAAAAACCTTGCGTTTCCACATTTCCACTCGCGAAAGTTCCCAAGAAAAACTTGATTACAAAACATCTATGAAGGGATTTTCCGCTTTCCGCGAATGGAAACTCAGGCTTAACAGTTGTAATATTTTTCCAGACGAAAGTTTTGTTGGAGCAATCCCGTATTGAAAGCAAACTTTTATGCCCAATCGATATGATTCTTTATAACTGTGATCGGAATTAGGTTCATGAATCTACCAATGCTACCATAAATACGTACCTCTTTACAAAATATAATCTTTAAAGTTTTCGTTTATTAAGACAGAGTCCTTAAAAATCATTATGTGGGTTTTCTACATAATTATTTTCATACGAATATTTTTACCTGTGGGTTAAGGTATGAAAAAGTAATAGTTTAAAGATAATAAGGTTGGATAAATGAAAGGATGAAATTTCTCGATGTACAGACAAAAAACTTAGAAATTGAAACTTCTGACTTAATTTGGTACAATTGAAACAGTGAGTGTTAAAAATATAATCGTTATACCTTATATTTTGTTTTATATATTTCCATTGTAATGGGAACCATACGAATAGATAGTCAACATCCTCCACTCTCTATGGTTACTGTTATCAAATCACTTAGATTAACAGTACATGTGAAAGGGAGAAAATTCTACAGGGATATGACTAACCTTTGATTACCCAAATGAAACTCTTTGAATTCCCAACACGCGAAAAATGTCCATGACGCCAAAGGCTGTTATTTCAAGGATTAAGATATACATCGTGCTACAAAGAACATCCCTAATCACACAGTGCACTAGATTTAAATTACAGTCACTATTGTATTTGAAAAAAAATATAACTCTTCAGTGGCTGTTTGAAATTAACGAAATTTACACTGACATAAACATAAAAAACATAAAAGTATGGTGGGAAATCCCAAGATGGCAGTTGGTTTCCATTGATTTCCTTGGAAAACAGTTCAAATTACAAAGAAAATTTCTAACCCCACATTTTCCTAGATATGTTTATATTCACTTTGCTTTTGAACAAATATTTTTGGATGATAATTAACTCTTCAGCAGCTATTTGATATCATTAAAGATGGGCGATAGCCTCCAAGGACTTAAATTCTTATTATCTGACGTCAATTCGTGTTATTTCCTAGTGTTTACAGCATATGATTAATTCCAAGACATAACTATTGGGACTGTAATCAATTTAACTTAGCCGTGCTACTCACTTTGCCTCTTTCCTCTGCTGTTTCTTCTTCCTGAACACCCTCTTGACCCTCAGCAGAAGGAACGCTGCCCTGTCTATGGTCAAAGCCGAGGAGGAGTCCTTCCTCTCCTTGTCCTCGTCCTTCCCACTCATCCTGCAACCCAAAAGAACTGTTATAGCTCGTATTTTTTAGTGATATATTTCTTATAGTTATCAACATTTATATTTACCTACACTAGCTGTTATCCACGGGCTTCACCCCTTTTGACTTCATAAGAATTAATAAAACTATTGATAGGTTAAGTCAAGCTGAAATAAACAAAACAGAATACATTAATACAAACAAATAATCATGCCTAGTTTTTATAAGGTAACAAATTGAAAGGATAACATTCAAATGAAGTACAGCTGAGGTATTTTTTACATTAGATACATGGAAAGTTCCCTTTAGAAATAAATTTCACCTTAAAGGGCAATTTATATCAAATAATTGATCGTTTTGAGCAAGGTTTCTCGTCATGACGAATATTTTAAGTATATGGTTTACGGGGGTGTGACTTGTAGTTTTCTCAAAAGTTCATGGGTACTTTGGAATTTACATATCTATCTATATATTAATAGGCAAGCATGTTTCTTTAAAACCTTTTTTCTCAGCTCGTGTGCATCGTAGGTAAAATCTATGCATACCGTTAGAAAGCTATTTTCCTCTAGGTGTGCAGAATCCCTTTATAAATTTAAATAGGCTCAAAGATATGCACGAAAAATGAGTTTAAAATTTTGAAAAAATTAACATGGATCTTATGCGTTGCCATGGTGACGAAATAACAACGAAATATAAACAGAAAATCAAAACAAATGGAAGAAACTCCAATCACATGTTTTATTTACAGTGTGGGGTGAAAATAGATAAGTGAGTACATTACATATTTTTGGTCGAGTTTCGACCACTGGACGACCTCTCGTAGATATTAATAGGCAAGCATGTTTCTTGAAAACTTTTTTTCTCGGCTGGTAAGCAACGCTGGTGCTATGCACACTGTCAGAAAGAAACTTTCCTGTAGATGTGCAGACCCTTTTTAAAATTAAAATAGGCTCAAAGATAAGCAATGACACAAGGGTGTCTTGGGCCTTATGGGTTGCCCTGCTGGTTACGAAATAACAACATGTAGACAGAAAATAAAAGAGGTTTGAAGAAATTACAATCACACTAGGCTTGTAGGTGAGGAGCGAGATGGCGTAGTGGTTAGATCGCGGGACTTCAGTCCCTGAGGTCCCGGGTTCGATCCCTGCCAAGTCACCAATGGATTTTATCCAAGTGATAATGCAGCAAACTAGGTCTAGCCTGAAGTAATGTGAAAAAAATACCAGGCTCGTGCCTAGCGTCCTAGGACAAAAAAATAGGCTTGTAGGTACAGAAGTCTCTAAAAAGCTCAAGTATAAAATAAATTATTGTAATATTTAAACAAACTTATAATTAAATTATTTATGAGTCGGGATAGTTATACTAATAGTAGTAAAGAGTAAGTATGGCCTGCTTAAACTGAAGTGTACTCGAATTCCTTAAAAAAATGTGGTAACGATCATTATTACCCCCTTTACCCTCGTTGTAACTATTCCTTAACCATTCCCTATGCTGTGCACCATTCCTAAATACTAACCTTCGTAGTCGTGGTCTCCACCTAACACGATAAATTTCAACACTGCATTACCATTCTAACCTTAAAACAGAACACTAAAATCAATAAACAAATAAATAAGCAATGTTTAGAACAGCTGGTATGTTTAAACCAGATTGAACACTGTAGCAGTACTCCCGTTAGAAAATGAATGGATATTTGACGGTTTGTGGGGCAGACCAGGGGTAATTTTGAACACTTCTGATATTTTCCCCACCGTCCTTGGACCTTAAGCTTTAAAATGAATCCTTGACAAAACACCTATTCCCCAGCTCGAGATATTTCGTTGATCAATTCCCTTACGGGATAAAATATATACATGTTTTATTTACAGCGTGAGGTGAAAATATGGAGTTCTGTACATTACATATTTTTGGTCGAGTTTTCGACCACTGGACGACCTCTAGTATACATAAATTGAGACTAATCAATATTTGTTTTTAGAAATGTTCCCCTTTATATCTTTAAGACTTCCAATACGGTGGGATTTTATGGAAATGAACAGCTCTATTCGTTTTGTTGGCTGGTATACAATTGGGTAAAATGTAGGTTTCTCTTTGCTGGTTATTTCGTATACTCCAAACACACAGATAGACAGAGAGACACCACACAGGTTCTTAAATATTATAGATCCATACTGTGTGCATCAAAGAGAGGTTTTTATTTAGAGTAGTTTGTTACTATTTGGGATCAATAATATTATTTAATGGGGTATACAAAACATCACCAAGACATTGTATCATAAGAAATTGTATTAGGTACACTTTATTTGAACCCACTTACATTTTACAAACACAATATGGTAGGCACTTAAAATTAAGTAAATATGCATTAAGCATTAAAATATAAAGTATGTAAACAAAGTAACCTCAAATTAAATGTAAAGACAGATATCTAAAAGGGTCGCTGAAGTACATAATGTAAACTATTTATTTAACTCAAGAAAAAACTACTAGCGAATTCAACAATAGACACAGCCCTATACAAATAATATATATTCACCACAAGGAGGAAATACAAATGGACTAATTTATTTACTACACATGTATGGATGCATTAGTAAATTAAAAATGCTACATTCTGTTTAAATAAACACAAGTTTTAACATTTTAACGTAAGTGTCAATCATAAAAACATCCGACTTTAACTACAAGAGAAACAAACTCATTAAATCAACTTTCCCGAAGCGTATTAATTTAATCGAAAGTATAAACTTACTTGGTGTTAAAGTGAGGCTAACTTTTTCCTCACGTCTGTAACCGAGCTTAACTCGAATTAGAAAACAGGGTTTGCCACATTTAAACACGGCACCGTAAAAACCCTCTGTCCAATAACACTAATAAATCTTAATCCATCGTTTAAAATGCAACGCGCGATTTTGATTGGTTTTAAACCGAATGGATGAACCAGACATGTGGACTACACTGCACGTGACGGGAATTGAAACATGATTCTGTATTTTCCTGGTAAAACATGAAATTTGACTAAAATTTAGAAACCAACATATCTAAATACTTAGTTTATTGTACTTATTATATGGTACAGATAGTTCGTTTAGGTAACCAAACAAACAATATTGTGCTCTTTTGATATAGATTTATCCGTTTTTCAACTATTAATTCATTGAAATTACTTCTTTAAACTAGTTTAATTCCAGTACAAAATTATTTGGGGAGCGAGCTGGTCTAGTGGTAGAGCGCGGGTCTTCGGTGCCCGAGTTCCCGGGTTCAAATCCCGCCAATCACCAATGAATTTTATCCATGTGATATACTGCAACCCTCGAGGACTAGCCTGAAGTAATGTTAAAAACAGCTCCGTTCTAGGGCAAGCGTCTTATAATGAGAAGGTGGGACACTAAAAAAAATAAATATTTTATATCTTGTCTAGTATCAAGGACTAACTTTGGTAAACCTGACTAAAGACGTGTTCTAATGTAATTGTGGTTCAGGTTAAAGGATCGCTTATTCAAAGGAGCTGAAACTGAGGGGAAACTTAGTAATGGCTTCCTTGCCTGTTTATGACTTTGAGGTTCATCTAAGTTGAAACTATCGAAGCTAGGCAATCTTGATGATAGGTAAGCCAGTTACGTGCCAACAATAATGCCGAATTGTTACACTTAGTATAGAGTAGTTCGGAATAGTAAATAAATTAGTTGCCTGGGGCCTGATAAGAAACAATATTATATTCATAACGCCTTATAAAAGGCCATGTTACACGTTTGGAATTATATTGTGAAAAAATTAATAATGGAGGTTTTACTGAAAAATCCTTACTTGACTAAACATACAGACTGTCCCAAAAGTCCCGGACCGGTTTAATATTTTATAAACGACAACAGATAAATCAAAGAGATTTGGTACATCAACACCACAGCTAAAAATCTACTTTTTTAAGGAAATATCAATTTTCTGTCACATCATGGTGACGTCCCGCAAGGAGTCAGAAGGAAATTTTAAATAGAAGCATAGGTTGACATGTACATCAAATTAAAGGTCTTTACTAGCAGAATATAATGCCGCAAATTTGAACTCAAACGGACAACCAAGTCAAGAATGACAGTGGTTCAAAGATTCATTTAATTTGCATTTGGGGGCACAGCCCTAGGAATCGGAAAAAAATTGTTAACGTAAGCATAGGTCGATATGCACATCAAATTAAAGGTCTTCACTAGTAGATTACAATGCCGTAAATTCAAGCTCAAAAGAACGCCTGAGTAAAAAATGGCAGTCGTTTAAAGATTCAAAATGGCAGGTTCAAGAAATCTTTGAACGGCTGCCATTTTTTACTCAGGCGTTCTTTTGAGCTTGAATTTACGGCATTGTAATCTAGTAAAGGTCTTTAATTTGATGTGTATGTCAACCTATGCTTCTATTTAAGATTTCCTTCTGACTCCTTGCGGGACGTCCCCATGATATGACAGAAAATTGATAGTTCCTTAAAAAGTAGATTTTTGTGGTGTTGATGTGCAAAATCTTATTGATTTATCTGTTGTCGTTTAGAAAATAATAAACCGGTCCGGGACTTTTGGGACAGTCTGTATAATACATAGAAAAATCTAATAATTGCCGTAGCAGTAATTTTAAAAGATTTACAATCTTTATTCTTAGTATAAAATAAATACTTACCAAATTAAGATTTTTAATTTTACTTGTAGTTAAATCAATAGTAAATTACTTGATAGAATTTCGTGGAGAACAATTAATTGTAAGATTGCATGACTCATTTCAATTTGCTGAGGAATTTAATTACTTTGTAATCTAATGATTAAACAGAGTACACATTAACTAATTAGTTTTAATCATGCGAATTGAAGCTTACTTCTTATATTTGTCTCTAATTAGAATTCCAGTTAGCATTTTCTATGAATCTTTATGAGAAATACTATATTTTAGTTTAAAAAATGTACCAATATTTATTTATAATAAGGTTTAATTGGGAGACCACTATTAAGAAATTAATTCTGTAATATGATGTGTA